TCAGCTGCAACCTGTTGCCAGTATTATTGTATTTTATTTTGCAAATCAAACACTAACCAACACTGAATCCTACAAATATCTTGGAGTATTCCTTGACTCACATCTCGCTTATCGACACCCAACACATTCTCACTACGACCATGTCACATATTGATGTTTGGTCATGGTCTTTCCACGTCCACATACGACGTGCAAGGTACCCTGGGTGCGTTGGTTGTTGACGTTCTGGGACTCCGTGTCAAGTTCTGCCTGTTACATGCATTGTCTTCTTTCAAAATACACTTCTGTTTTCACAAGAAAAGCACCGTTTACATACAGTCTAAAAGCACTACATCAGTACAACAATGTGAATTGACATTTTCGGTGAGAGAAATCACTGATTGGCAATTCAGCTCAGCGCACGAGAAGAGAGACAGAAGTGAGGAAAGTAAACAAATGACTAAATTCAAGAGGGAGTGAGATCAAAACAAAGTTATTTCTTAGCCATTAAGCTCTTCTTATTTAAGGAGAGTGAAACTTTTCCTTGAAGTCCAGATCAAGTCTCAAGTCCTCGAAGGCAACTCCAAGTTGAGTCTTGAGTAGTGTTGCCAGATGTGTGATGGTCACAATCACACATGGTCCCTTCCTGGTGGGACAAAGGGCGTGGCTGAGGGCTGAGGACTCTTAAATCCTGAAGCCAACTTATTGGACCAAACCATGCTGCCTTGTCATGGGGAGGACTTATTGGGTTTAATTAGTTTTGCTTCATATTTAGTTGTGGTTGCCATCCATTTTGGCTCCCCCTTGTGTAGTATTTGATTTGGCCAAGCCACTATATATGCTTCGTGTGTCATTTTGACAGGTCAGTTTGTTCAGTTAACACCTTGTTATATTGAGTATAGTTATGATACGTCAACCTCTTTTATAGGCCTAGTTATCAATTTATTGGTTTGTAATCTTTCATGCATTTTTTGGGGTAAATAAAACCCACTATTTTGTCAACAACTCCTGTGTCCTTGTTGCCTCACTGCTTGGTCCCTTGCAAGTAAAGTAACAACAAAAAGTAGCCCAGTCAGAGCATAAAACCTGCCCCAGCACCATAAAAGTAGCCCAATTTTTTTTAATCTTCACAAGAGCTTTTTTTTTTTTTTTTTAAATTTAATTGTTAAACACTCATATGGACAGATGTACTCTTTTACAAGTCTGTCATCACAGAGCTGTGACGGACTAATAACTGGACTAGTAAAGAATAATAAACTTAAAAAATGCTGCAATATTTCAAACACAGCAAACTCGACTTTACATTTCAAACTCACATGATATTTTAAATATTCAAATCTAAACCTACATGCCCAAGAGTTACATGCAAACACCCGCTGGGCCCGCTTAAAGGGAGGACGTTATTAAACAGACTAGTTTCAGTCTATTTACATCTCTAACAAACACTGTACAGAAACAAACAGGCCCTCAAAAAAACAGACGAGTGATTAACTTTCCCAACTCGAGATGTGAAACTGGGAACACATCTCAGATTACGTTCTGTCTGCAGATGAGCTGACGAAAGCAGACGAGGTCAGTTATGTTTAGGAATGCCGATCCGTCACCCTGCACTGTTCCCATGGCCTCTACGTGTTTCCAGACACTGCTTCTAAAAATGGCTTCATGGGAATGAATGACATTATTTTACGATTATATCAGATATTATGAGGGGCAGCTGAAGAGAGGGGAGCTGTAACATATTGTAAATATTAGTTTTAATGCTGCAAGAGCGCCAAATTTATAGCTATGTCCCTAATTTATTCCCATATGGTGACAAAGGCATTTATTGCACTGCTTGTACACAATAACAAACAGTTTTTTGTCCCTGTATGACTGCAAAAGAGGCGATTAGTCACTGTAATCCATAAACTGCTGCTGGGTATGAGTCTGACATCCAGTCAAGCAGAACATACTGTAAAGACATGACAGCTCACCTGACCTGAACTTTTGTATACACATGCTTGAAGCTCCAGATGGGAGTGGTTTCATGGCCACATGAGCGTCAGGAAGATCAGACAATTACAGGAAGGTGTGTCTAGCATCCAGTTTTTTCTTTTTAATTGACAACATGAACCAAAGTGTCCCTGTGCAGTAAAATCCATCCGTCGCAGAGGAGAAAGCAGAAGCAAATACTGGAGATACTTCTGTACACTATTTTGTTTCCCTCGAGGACAATGTAAGACAAAAGTGGAACAAAGTGGAAATCCAGAGGAGCCGTTTTATGTCCTAAACAAGTCTGACAGCACCACAAAAATGCACCATTCCTCATTTTACTGGACTAAAATCACATGTGAAACCACAAACATGGATTGTGTCTGCGTTGCGGTGCAGTTGATATCTGTGGTGTGAGGGAGCCCTCTGCAGTTCAGATCAGCACTCTGATCTAAGCTATAAAGATCTGTCATGTTTCATCCATATGTGTCTCTCAGTGTCCTCAAATGTCCTCTGTAAAATAAGAATTGACTTAACTTATGGAAAGCATGACATTTATAAGATTATTGTTTTAAGTTTTAAGCAGTGGTGGAAGAAGCACTGAGATATTTTACTTGTGTGAAAGCAGCAACAGGGGTGGAAGGTAACTAAGTACTCAAGTACTGCATTTCACTGAATTCATACATTTATGCAACTTAATACTCGCTCCACCACCACCACAAGCTGTAACATCTGAATGCTGCTTACTTGTCATCTATAAAAGTATTCCAGTAATTAAATACACTCACTGGCCACTTCATTAGGTACACCTGTTCAACTGCTCATTAACGCAACCAGCTAATCAGCCAATCATGTGGCAGCAGCTCAATGCATTCAGGCATGTAGACATGGTCAGGACGACCTACTGAAGTTCAAACTGAGCATCAGAATGGGGAAGAAAGGTGATTTAAGTGACTTTGAACGTGACATGGTTGTTGGTGCCAGACGGGCTGGTCTGAGTATTTACTGGGATTTTCACACACAACCATCTCTAGAGTTTACAGAGCATGGTCCCAGAAAGAGAAAATATCCAGTGAGTCAAAATGTCTTGTTGATGCCAGAGGTCAGAGGAGAATGGCCAGACTGGTTCAAGATGATAGAAAGGCAACAGTAACTCAAATAACCACTGGTTACAACCAAGGTCTGCAGAAGACCATCTCTGAACCAACAACACGTCCAACCTTGAAGCAGATGGGCTACAGCAGCAGAAGACCACACCAGGTGCCACTCCTGTCAGCTAACAACAGGAAACTGAGGCTACAGTTCACACAGGCTCACCAAAACTGGACAATAGAAGATTGGAAAAACGTTGCCTGGTCTGATGAGTCTGGATTTCTGCTGCCACATTCAGATGGTAGGGTCAGAATTTGGTGTAAACAACATGAAACCATGGATCCATCCTGCCTTGTATCAACGGTTCAGGCTGGTGGTGGTGGTGTAATGGTGTGGAGGATATTTTCTTGGCACACTTTGGGCCCCTTAGTACCAACTGAGCATGGTTTAAACACCACAGCCTACCTGAGTATCGTTGCTGACCGTGTCCATCCCTTTATGACCACAGTGTACCCATCTTCTGATGGCTACTTCCAGCAGGATAACGCACCATGTCACAAAGCTCAGATCATCTCAAACTGGTTTCTTGAACATGGCAATGAGTTCACTGTACTCCAATGGCCTCCACAGTCACCAGATCTCAGTCCAATAGAGCACCTTTGGGATGTGGTGGAACGGGAGATTCACATCATGGATGTGCAGCTGACAAATCTGCAGCAACTGTGTGATGCTATCATGTCAATATGGACCAACGTCTCTGAGGAATGTTTCCAGCACCTTGTTGAATCTATGACACCAAGAATTAAGGTAGTTCTGAAGGCAAAAGGGGTCCCACCTGGTACTAGCAAGGTGTACCTTTTACTTTAATACATCCAGTACATTTTACTGTTATACTTTTGTACTTTTACTTATAATGGTGTATTTTTACAGAAAGGTATTGCTTACTTCACGTTAGTAGAATATACAGGTACTTCTTCCACCACTGGGTAGCAACTGTATACAATGATCTGAAAACTGAGAGTTGAGAGCCATATAGTCTTTACACTATTTCAGTTCTGCATACAATTTGACCAATATTTAATCAAAGTAGTTCTTTTTTCAGTCATTATTTGATCTCATGATGTAATAATAACTTGTAGTAATTTCTTCAGCCAACATTTAATTTCACCTCTCTCTAATTCATTGGAGGGCAATTTTTCGGCCAAAAAATACACGTGGAAATATGATTAATTGTCCATAAATCCTGACAGCTGGCCTGGTGAGGCCCATTTACGTTTCGGCTCAGCTCATGGGAGACATTTCAAGTGGTTGCAATCTGCGACCTCATGCTCAGTGCCACTAAATCAGACACACCAGCCCTTTAATACGTCAAAAAAGATCTTTTGATTTTGTATTAATAATCAGAATCAATGTATCTAAGTAACTGGTAATATATAATACCAATTGCCTGTCATACTGTCAAAATATAAAACTGCATTAAATGGAAACACTCAAGTACAAGTACCTCAAATACATACTTAAGTATAGTCCTTGATAAATACACTCATTTACTTTCCACTAGTGGTCATAGAAGCCAAAGCTTGTTTCTTATTCCTGCAAAGCTGCCTTCTTTTAGTGGAAATATGTGCAAAATAAAGAGAGTTTTTATTCAAGTGTGATAATGACATATCTAGGTAAACAGTGCCCCTAGTGGTCACAAGAAGAATTATCGTAAAGCATGTGTATGACTAAATAAGCTGTAGTGATTTATTGCATATAGCTTCTAACACCCACATTTTCTGCCTAAACAGATCAAACCTATGTGAACATGTGAAACATTTTCACAGTAATACGTAAAGCCAAACATTCATGGTGACAGTGACACCCAGGGGTAATGAAATTCACTCAGCAGTTTAACAAAAATTGAAACCTTTATTTCAGATTTCATTTTCTTTTTTACAAAAAAAGAGAAAAAAAAAAAAAAAAAAAAAAAAAAAAGGACAACGAACAGTTAAGTGCACCTTGGAATGCTCGTTGGTAAATGGACCCAGAGTGTCGTCATGATTGCTCTTCTGGTGCTTTAAGACGGCAGCCACAGACACCGAATGACCCCAAAGCCCCTTCCTCAGGACCACGGGGCTGTTAGTGATAAAAACAAGGTGGCCTGCACGATTTCTCCCCACCCCCCACCCAACACCCCTCACAGTCCTGTTCCTCCTGGGCTCCCCCAGCAGCACCGCTCTACTCCTTGGCCACCGCGAATGGCTTCTCCACTTCGATTTTGCCACAATCGTGAATAATGACGTCTTTAAGTGGCTTATCGCGAGTGTCTGTCTTTGTGGCTTCGATCTTCTTCACCACTTCCTGGAGGGGGGAAGAAAAATAAGACTTTAGCACCCTTAAAATGTAATTCGAAAAGTTGTGGGTTATAAATAAAACAGCTTTATCCAACATCAGAAACTAGTCTTCGCTATACTTAATATATTTTCACTGCTTCAACTTACTGTCAGGGATTTCTAACAGAAAAATTAAACTGTTATATCGCTCTCTTCAAAGCCAGACTCCATAGAGGAAAACAGTGATTCAACATCAGTGAACACAGGAGCTGCTGGTCTACTGCTGCCTCGATCAGTTAGTTAGTGTTATTGTTTGACATTGGCGTTTACAAGGGTTAGAATGGATTGACCACAATAACACAAACTAAGTGATCGAGGCAGCAGTAGACCAGCTGCTCCTGTGTTCAGTGAGCTAAAATCACTGTTTCTGTCAGTGGAGTCTGGCAGTTTTTACAAGAGCATAGATGGTGAACTGAAGCTGTTTATGGCTTCCCTGTTGGAGCAGACTGTCTGATGGGAAGTAAAAGCAGTAAAAAATACTTTCAATACAGCAAACCCTTTAACTGATACTTATTTTTCTAGGTGGCTAAAATGTGTTTTGTTGCTGACCCCCTCCACAGCAGTAAATTGTTTAGCTTCCATGTCTGACTCCTGCCTGCTCCTGCTAGTTAATGATATTCTCACGATACAATATTATTGCGATTTTTAATGTTACGATATGCTGAATGCAGAAACAAAACCTCAAGTAATGAAATGTTTATGACTGAGTCTTTTTGTACAATCTGTTGTTACTGACGGCAGATTGAAGATGCATTTTAGAAAAGTGGCGAGGAAGCAAGATGTTTATTAAAAGACGCTTTCACATTATAGTTAAATTTATTTGGTCTGGACCAAGGAGGAAAACTGATTCATCATTGCATTTTTTAGATACAGGCTGACGGGTAACTCGTTGACCGGACAGTTTTGGTGACCGTCATCCTGCATCAGATTCTGGGTCTGACAGAAGTTTATGCAGCACTTTAATACTTCTTTCTTTAAGATTTTTTTGGCTTTTTGCCCTAAATGACAGGAAAGTTCAAGGTGTGAAAGTGGGAGAGAGAATAGACGACATGCAGCAAAGAGCCACAAGCTGGAATTGCACCTGTGGCCACTGTGGCAAGGACACTGCCTTTGTACATGGGGCGCCTGCTCGACCCACTGACCTGCTGAGCTCCCCAGCACTTTAATACTTCCCATGTGTTTATCTATGTTCTTTTGTGTCACAAAGAGTTCAAAGAAGTAAGTGATTATAAAACGTTCTTCTGGGTGGAAAATCCCCGTGTCACACACATAAAACTAGAAAAGCACTCGGAGAGCGCAGACCTCCGCCAAGCAGCTCGGATTTCCCACCATTTTATTATTTTATCCACTTCACTTCAACCGATCACCATCAAAATTTTATCATCTGTTCCTTGTCCCATTATCAACCTTTCCTGAAAATTTCATCAAAATCTGTTCAAAACTTTTTGAGTTATTTTGCAGACAAACAAACAAACGCCGGCGAAAACATAACCTCCTTGGCGGAGGTCATAAGCCCAGCAGAAACGGTCAGAGGTCAGACCACCATGTTTAACCATATATATTTAAACGTTACAGTCACAGCTGAAAATGACAACGGAAAAAAAGTCAGAAAAGTGAGAAGTGATTGTTGCTGATAGTATGACATCACAGCGATGTGGTCATGGTAGTGATGCGTGATATTGGATTTGATGCCGATATGTAAGAACGCATTTGACCTAAACCCAAACAGACTCGAGTTTGTTTTGGCTGAACCAAACAAGTTAGATATGAAAGCACACTAAATCTCTCTGTTCTGCTTAAAGAAATTACGTTACTGCATCTTCCTTTGTTTGTTGTCTGTCCATGATGTGCCCGAGGAAGGCGCAGAAGGCAACTAGTGTCTATTTTGGTCTGGAATTCAGCCCGCTATTCTCAGCATTCCAACAGATACTGCAGGTACTTTTCAAACTAAACATAACAGATCAGTGTTTGGATAACGGGCGATAACACACTTAAGATTTGGATGTTCAGTCGCCCACATGCAGCTGTGAATAAGACGTTGACCTGACACTCACAATTCCCTCCAGAACTTTTCCAAAGACGACGTGTCGGCCGTCCAGCCACGGCGTCGGAACGGTGGTGATGAAGAACTGTGAGCCGTTGGTGTCTTTGCCGGCGTTAGCCATGCTGAGCCAGCCAGAGCCGTAGTGCTTCAGCTTGAAGTTCTCATCGGGGAAACGATCTCCGTAGATGCTCTTGCCTTCATTTCAAAGAAAATATATTTGTACTGTTTTACTCCATGCAAGACAATCAGTTGTTTTGAATCATGTCATTTCCACAAACATTTTCTCCCTACAGTGACCTTTGCATCTGATCTCTGCCGAATGTTTATCTTCCCTTTATCTGATGACATTGTCTTGTTCATGAACACTGAACAACCGTGTGAGTCATTCCTAAAGGACAGCTGCCAAATGTCAGTGTGCTCAACCAGTGTTGACACAAGTTTAAGAAAACTTTGGGTGATCATTAAATACATCCCTGTCCTTATGCCATGTTTTTTTACAGCATAGAATAAATCTTTAATTCATTAAAGCATGAACACACTCAGGAGATTGTGGCAAATCTCTTACCCAAATTATATGGAAACAAGAAAAAAGTGAGCACTGAAAATTCTCATTTTCTCAACAGTTGCAGAGTCTTTTTGTAAAACCCAGAAGAGCCCAAGAGTGAACCAACCCTGTACGTCATTAAATGTTCAGGACAGCACTGATGCAGAAGGCCACGAGCTTGAGTTTGTTCTTGCAGAGACAGACCTGAGTCCTGACATAAATGCCATTCTGCAGGTGTCGGCGGCCATCTTACCTCCGGTTCCGTCCCCCTTGGTGAAGTCTCCACCCTGGATCATGAAGTCACTGATGACTCTGTGGAATTTGCTGCCCTTGTAACCAAATCCTTTCTGCGTTATGAGAGAAACAAAACAACATAAATAAAAATATCTGACAGATCAGCTGCTGGTATTTGACATTTTAGACAGTTAAGAAACAGATGACAAACAAGTCTTTTCTGTATTTTGTTTCTTATGTATAGCGTTACAAAGTTGAATATTCATATTAAACACAAATGACTTAAATGACTTCATATTTCCTACTGTTCTAAACACACCATTTCCAATTGTTTTTTCTACTCAGGCTACGGTATGATGTCAAAGTGTCCCAGATTTCTTTCTAAGGTCATCTGCTCCAGGCATGCTACTGCACATGTTAACATTACGTAGCCTATGCTGCTACATGAATCTTTATGCTAATGTCACAGAATCATGACGTCTTGTTTGCAGATGTTGTTAGTTTCTCCCTGATTTTGGGTCATATTCCTGCTGGATCATGTCTGGTTGTGTTTAGGTTTTACTAGTGATTTTTCACAGTATAAAGTGCTGCTATGCTCCGTTACAGCCATTCCCTGGCTGCAAGTACACTGCTAACACACATGTAGCTACATGCTATTGTAAGGGAAACATGTAGCCTTGGGGGGGTTGTTCCCAACCACGGTTTGGAGCCGGTAAGCTGTCACTGAGGGAGGTAACAATAAGTTTTAACTTGAAAATGAGAATAATAGGTCCTCTTTAAAGTGTGTCTCCAGCACATGGCCGTTTGTGCTTTGGGAAAGTCCACAAAGATGTTGAAGATAAAAATACACAATACAAACTGGGGCTGGCAGGACATCAGACTTTCACTACACGATTATTATGGCCAAAAGAGTTCACAATAATGATATTATTATTTGCAGTATATATAGAAAATCTGAACAAAAATAACAGTAATAATGCTATCAGTCAAAATCATCTTTAACTTCGTTTATTGTGTGGGTTTGTTGTGTGCAATTGTTGGCAAATTAATGAGACTAAAATAAGAGTGTAGGGGGTGGAGAGAGAGTCCGTCTACATAACTGTACAAGAGTGTACAGAAAGAGCAATTACACTTCATGGATAGTGAAATGGCAACCAGATGGCGTTGGGGGAGGGAGACAGAAAAAGAACAAAAACAAACAGAAGAGGTGCTGGATTATTGACACGATATTATCCTGTGTGTTATTAACATGATATTTCATTTTTAAATATCACGTCAATACTGGTATATCGAACCTGATACATTTCCTGCGCACTTACAACTGTGTTAAAACAAAGGAATGAGTCAGCAACCACAATTCTCCCCCTTTGATTTGCAGTCAGTCATGAAACTGGTGATTTTTAGGTGAAAGAAATCACTGTAGACTGTTGCATTTTCGGTACTCATTATAGACTGTGTCATTCTCACCTCTCCTGTCGCCAAGGCGACAAAGTTGTCGACTGTTTTGGGAACAGTTTTCCCAAACACTCCAATGACAATTCTTCCAACTTCTTCATCTCCAATTTTCATGTCAAAGAACACCTGAAACAGAAGTAAAGGTATTAAGTTATTGTGCACTTGAATATCTGCCATGATGAGGCAAAACCTTCATTCTACTGATATAGGGTTACAGCATTTTCTGGTTTTAAGGTACACTGTGAGATAAAAGTTGACAGTCATCATACTGTTTACATTTGCTTATATATGATATTAAAAAAAATGCAACTGGACGTTGATGCTCTCGCTCCCTTTAATGCAAGTTATTTTCTTAGGGGAGACTTTGTACACATTCTTCCATTGACAAAATGGTTAAAAGTTACAATTATAATAAAAAATGGTTCAACCAACAATAACCTTTTAATTTTCACTTCTTTATTAATAATAATAATAATAATAATAATAATAATAATAATAATAAATATTGTCTGAGACTGTTATCATACCGTGAAAATATCATACCGTTGCAACCCTATACTGATATCTTAAATAAGAATGGATGGGTTGGGTTGACATAATAATACAGGCACTGGAGCTTTCAATGGGTTACATCATACAGTAAATCATGTCCAGTGTTTCACATATTACTTATATCATAGTGCTAATGTAAAGGTTAGAAACACCACACCATCTAATTCATCGACTGCTGTGATCAAGCCAGTCTTTGTTAGGCAGTTTGCCTGCAGGCTGTCTTGATACCAGCCATAAATATTTAAGAGATATAAATTCTTTGATACAAGTTTCTCCAGGTTATTATGTCACATGAGAGCTATGAAATTCTATTCTGTGTGTTCTTATTTTCTCTTCAGGGCACGTTTCCAAATATTATGCAATTACAGGCACAAAGCTAAACATATATTAAAGTTGCAGAATGGGTTTTCCTTCAGTCTACACAACACTTTCTCCTACATGACTCACTAACTCACTGATTTAAGTACAAAAAAATTATTTTGTGGTGCAAAACGGTTTTTAATAGAGATGCATTTACAGAGAGATACTTAATTTGGGCGTGTCAGCCTTTCTCAACCAGATCTGTTTGCAGGTGATTTTCGCATTTGAAACTACTGGACCATTTCACAGCTTCCTAATGACTGTAGACGTGGACAAACCTGCTGCACCCAGACACAACAAGGCCAGACACAACATTTGACTGAGCCTCACTGAGCTGCAGCACAGTGTTAGCTACAGAGGGAATAATCAATAGTTTAAACCTGAAGTGATAACTGGAGCTAAAATGGGTGTAGGGGAATTAATAATGGGTAAATTTGGAAATACTAACAGTTAAAAGGCCGAAGCTACGTTAGCTAGCTGCTCTCAGATTAGCTAGGAGCAGAAGCATGCCCGTTACAATCAGCTTCTGCTAACACGGGTACGTGCACCACTTATGATACGATAGTAAATGCCCTCAGTTACCGAACTAACGTTAGACATAATACCGCACATTAGCCATCTGTTAGCTTAACAAGCTTAACAAGCTAGCAAACGATCCCGACCGTGAGCTAAACGATGAACCGTTAGAGGCTAACTTGCGTGTGACGTGGCTTAGCGGTCTGTAGCTAACGGTTAGCATTTACCGGCTAGCAGAGAGAGGCAGCTTTGATTTTCTACAGTATCCATCAGCAGAGGAAGCTAGCTCCAGAGCTAACACAGCGCCTACCTTCACGGTTACTTTGGGGCCTTTCTTCTTCTCGTCAGCAGAGGAGCCATTAGGAAAAGCGAGAAAAATCAACGATCCCACAATGACCGTCACGGCTACGAGGAACTTCATCCTTCTCTCGCAGAGTCTAACCATCAACAAGAAGAAATGGAGCAGCCCGAAGACGGCCTGGAAAACTTGCTAGCTTTATATGAGCCGGGGGGAAGGAGTGTGGTATCCGGGGTGGAGACTGCCGCGGCGGCCGCTCCAGGCTGCTGCTGCCTCCACGACTGCAGGGGCCGGGCCGTGCGCACAGCGCGCAGACGCACGGCACTCTGATTGGTTCACGAGAGTGTTAGCCAATCAGGTGAGGCCGCGTTACACCGGCTCAGTGTGAGATCCAGTGATTCTCAGGCTCATCATACAGACTATGGTCTCAGCAAGGTTTCTTTTCTTTCTTGATTTAAAAATACAACGTGCATATGCATATTTAACTACATACATATGATGACACTGATAATCTCTTTAAAAAGCTGAGGCTGAAGTTAGGGTTTTATTTCAGAAACAAGGCCTATTTCTCCTTTGAGGCTGGGAAAAGACTGGTTGCTGCTATTTTTTACTGATTCTGGATGATGGTAATCTGTTGTACATGAATGCATCTGCACATTGCACATGTTAGATGCTGCATATCATAGTGCACTGCGATTTGTTGCAAACTGTAAAGCCCTCACTCCTCACTGTATCCTTTATTCCAGGGTTGGTTTGCCATCTTTGACCTTTCGCAGGCTCAGTCACTGGTATTTGTCCATTTATAAAGCCATACTGGGTAAACAGAGGTTTGACTGTAGCTACAGTCTGACATCTCGAGACTTAGTTTTCTTGTCTGTTCCTAGTGCTCGGCCAGATATATAAAGCTTTTATGGGCTCTGCTCCTCTCACCTGGAATAAACTTCAAAAAGATTTGAAACTACATGGATTGGTCTCACTTGTCTGAATTTAAAGTTCTTACAAGTACAAGGATGAATGAGTCAGTTGGGTCTTGTCATTGTGCGCAGGTGTTCTAATATTTCTACATGTTACTGTGCATCTTTTATGTTTTTTTATAGTGTGGTTGTTTGGCTGTAACTTTTTTGGATGCTGCTGTCTTGGCCAGGTCTCCCTTGTAAAAGACATCATTGATCTCAATGGGACTTGCCTGGTTAAATATGGGTTAAACTTACAAAAAAAAGAAAGAAAATAAATATATCATTGAAAAATGATCAATTCAGCGCTACAAGTCAAACAGCAAAATCACACATAAAAGAGAAGAACATAGGAGAAAAAAATACATACAATAAACAGCACAAGGAAGATGAAAAACTAGATATAATACACCTGATTTGTTTTTATTAGATATAAATTCAACAGTTATTTGAGAGGTCATAATAGCTGTCTTATTCATTGCTAGCTTTATGGTCTGGCCCCACCCTACATCGCCGACCTCCTAACCCCCTACTCTACCCCCAGTTCCCTCATGTCAGCTGACCTGGGGCTCCTGGCTGTCCCACGCTCCAGACTTAATCTTTGCTGTGTCTGCCTCCAAACTGTGGAACAGCCTCCCCTTCCCAATCAGATCTGCCCCAGGGTCAAATTCTACTTTTATTCATCAGCGTTTGTGTCTCCCTGATGTGGTTTTCCCTGAATTATACATTTGAGTTGAGCTGAGTTAGAGTCAGAGATATTGCAGTTCAACTAGGGATGGAAATATAGACAGTGCAGGTGGTGCAGTTGTGGTTGGTTTTACAAAAAGAACATGTTGGAGAAATATCCTCTTTAAATTGATGTAATAATGCATTGCAGGGTTAGTATCCATGTAAAACCTTCAAGTGAACTTATTTTATTTTATTTGTAATGAGGAATTTAACAGAGTCTGACCAAACTTTGTCTGCCAAGAGATACTCTTAAATGCTTGTTGGATGTGGATGTGATTTGGAACAGGACGGGAAACCTGCTTACACTGTATAAATACTGAGACTGACAGCTCAAAATATCAAAGTAGATATTTCATTTTTGTCCTTGTCTTGCTGTAAAATTTATAAAATACTTTTTCAAAAACTATATGGCAGTGTTGGGATCTCTTCCAAGCATAGCTGAGTTAACCCATGAGGTGTCCATGGGGCATATATATATGTATATATATATATATATATATATACACACACATATGTGTGTGTAAAATAAAGCACAGCGTTAGTTCAGGCAGGAGATGATGTCAAGCTCAGCTCACATCCCAGCTACATCAGCTGATCTCAAACAGTTCAGTCAACTGATAGAGCAGCTGATAGATCACATGATTCCCTTCTATGCAACCAATTGGCGAGTCTCATTCAGGGCGCCCTATTTAAACTGCTCTGGCCTGCCTACTGTTGCTGCTTCCTCTGCAAGCTGCTTTGCAACCCGCCTCCACCCCAGCTTCTCCTTTTCATGTTGTGTCTGACTTATCAATGTCATTTCTGTTTGTCATTGATGCTGCTCTCTCTGCCTTAGGCTTTCCATTTAGGCGCGTGGAAGGGCAGGAAGGTGTGCTCTCCCTGCCTTCCATATGGGCGCATGGAAGGGCAGGAGGGTGTGCTCTCTCTGCCATAAGCTTTCCATGGAGGCGCATGGAAGGGCAGGGAGGTTTGCTCTCTCTGCTTTCTGCGTAGGCCTAGAAAAGGCAGAGGTCCCAGAACAGAGCCATACCACCAAATATAACACTGCAAATGGAAATAAAGTTTTCTTTGACTAGTGTTCCTGACTGAACTGGTGTTTTGATATAGTTTTACTGTTGTTTAACACAGCCTTCCTTTTACCTCAGTTCATAAAGAATGATTGTGTTTCTAGATTCTCTGTTCATCATAAAAGGCATGCAAGTAAAACAAAGTTTTCTTCACGAATTCAACATAACACACGGTGAGTAACTGATATACAAATGGTCATGTGGGTGAACTATTCTCTTAAATTTATTCAACATTTGACACGTAGATTCCTCTATCCAATTCCGACATACTATTTTAAGTAAGGTAGCAACTAGCGGTTATTATTACCAGATAATCTACTGACTATTTTTCATAATTCTTTGGTCAAAAGAAATAAATCTCCAGAACATAGTTAAATATATACCCATTAGTATACGTATAGTACCCACTGGCACAGGAGGACACCTTGAAATGTCGTGTTTGACCAATAGTCACTTCGCAATAACACAAAAACAGAAACAATTAGTTTAAGACACTGAAACCATCAAATGTCTGACAGACAATTTTAAAAATCATTGCTGATAAATGTAAGTTGATCAATAATTGACTATTCAACTGATAATTTCAGGACAAATTTTAAGTTCTTCCAACACTGACAAATATCCACAATAACCTGCTGCACCACAATAAAGCCAAGTGCTACTCTCCGTACATATTTTAATGACAAACTACAAGTAAATGAAACTTGTCGACAGTTACAGGTGTTAAAAACATGAGACACAAACAGTCAAGTGAGAAAAGATGGATAGATTGTACTTGCTAAAAATAAAGGGGGGTTCGGAGTTAAGGTTACATTCACCTCTGCAGGCGCGCCCGCCACTTCGTACTAGTGCAAAGAATTAATTCTGCTAAACAAAACACCATACATCTTGTTGTTGTATGTTTGCATTAAGACTCCATTATTGCATGCCTTCAGTGGCCATGTGAGGTATAATAAATTGTTCTGACAGTCACGTACTAAATGCCTAACATGATGCAGGTGTTCCCAAGTAAACTCAGAAGGAAACAATAAACAACCTATGAAAAAGAATGATGTATCTATATGCTAGCTTTCCTGGCAGTACGTTACACTGAACAGCTTTTAAAATATTTCAGCCAATCATTTTGCAGAGTCACATTTTATAAGTGAGGGAAGCAAAAACAAATATGCAGGCAAATAAGAGGCATAAATATTTAAATTTTAAGGACAACTAAAACATCATGTTGAATTTTAAACACCACTAAATTCGTAGCATTGAAAGATTTTATCCTGAAAACCATGTGCTTGAATTTATTTGTTCTGAATTAAATTATGAAATTTCTTGATTTGCAATTTCACCTTGAATTTAAATATATATTTAGTGTTCACAAATCCAGATCCACAATCTCATGTTTCAAAACTTCAAAACTGGACTTACTCAAGTCCGATAGTTCTCATTGGTAGCCATTTTTGGGTTTCAGTTTTCAAGCCGCTTTCTTGGATCACATGACCGACAGATCGTGCTCTCATTGACCGGAAGTCAGTTTGATTGCATTCAGGCTCGATTGCCTCTCATATGTGGGGGAGCTGTGAAGGTGGAGATTCTGCTATCTAAAGTTTTTCAACTCAAATTTTTGGATCTGAATCGAATTTGAGCGTCATGAACATATTTCTTTTTTTATTCTGAAACTTGAATTTTTTTATCCAAATATATTCAAGATTCCCACACATTTTCATGGGCAAAATTTCAAAACTTTACCATGACTTTCCAGGAACCCATAATGTAAATATCAACACACTGTTTTTTCAACACACTGTTTTTTCAAACTTATCATTTTAAACTTATCAAGATTTTCGAACAGAATTTAGTTTTTGCAGTATTTTGTGACCACTTTTCCTGTCTGACTTGTATTTACTTTTGTATTCACAGTCTTTGTAATTTTGTATTGTATTGCAAATTTTTTTTTAAAGAGTAAACATATTTCACTCGGGCGCCCCATGTAGAAAAGCTTTGTCCTTGCCCCAGCAGCCGCGGGTTTGATTCCAACCTACAGCCCTTTGCTGCATGTCGTACCACTCTCTTTCCCCCTTTCAATTTCAGCTAGGAGAAAATGAAGAAACGTACATAATAGGAAAACAAAACGTTGTCAAACAGATGTGTATTAGAGCGACATTACGTCAACAGCTATGGAAAATAAATTTGCTGTTATGTTACATTAGTGGAAGGTTATCCATTGAGGATTACTGTAATAATTTTATTAACACAGACAACAAAATTCCCTGACTTTTCCAAAACTTTCAACGATTTTGACTAATTTCATGACGTTTCCAAGCCTGAAAAACGTGGTTGTGAAATTACATGAGTTTTCCATGACCGTGGGAACCCTTTATATGAACATTTACAACATTGTATTCAAATTCAGCTTTTGAAATTGCGAAAAATTTCATATTTTAATTCTTTTTTTTTCCCCCCGTACACCCTGGACTGGCCACCAGACTATTACAGAGCTGACACACTCACATTCACACC